TAACCAAGAGGTAGCTGTCAGAACAGAGCAAGAAAACACTGCCTGGCTCAAAATTGGGAAGGGTGTACGCCAGGGATGTGTCCGATCTCCATGTCTTTTCAACCTGTATGCAGAAGAGATCATCCGGGAGGCTGGGCTCTATGAGGAGAAATGTGGCATCAGGATTGGTGGAAGATCTATCAATAATCTGCGTTATGCAGATGATACAACCCTTTTTGCTGAAACTGAGGAGGACCTGAAGCACTTGCTGCTGAGGGTCAGGGACTGCAGCCTTCAATATGGGTTGAGGCTCAATGTCAAGAAGACAAAGATTCTCACCACTGAGCCAACTGGCAGCATCAGGATGAATGGTGAAGAGATTGAGATTGTTCACAGCTTTAGTCTGCTTGGCTCCACAATCAACACTCTTGGCACCAGCAGCCAGGAAATTAAAAGACGTATTGCGATAGGAAAGTCTGCTGTTAGGGACCTCTCTAAAGTACTGAAGAGCAACGATGTGTCTCTGGAGACTAAGGTACATCTGGTACAGGCCATGGTCTTTGCAATCACTTGTTATGCATCAGAGAGCTGGACAATGACCAGGGAGGATAGAAGGAGAATTGATGCTTTTGAGCTTTGGTGTTGGAGAAGAGTGCTGAGCGTGCCATGGACTGCTAAGAAAACAAACAGATTCATCCTGGAGAGAAGACCTTTCCCTAGAGCTGGTATCCTGAACTTGGACTTCTAGCCATCTAACTGTAAGAGAATAATTTTGTTTGTTTGTTAAAGGGAGAAAAAAAAATGTGAGAGAGAACTTGAAATACTTACTATTGAAGATCAAAGACTATGCACAGCTTTTAGCATGGATTAGACCTCAACTTGTTGTTTATTGTTTTATATGTAGAGTCAGAACCAACCCATAGTTGACCCTCTGGTGGGTTTTCAGAGGTATGGGAGGAGATTGTGTATCTTTTTCCCACGGAGCAACTGGTGGCCTTGAACTCTTTGCCTTTGAGATTGCAATACAGCTTCTTGCCATTAGGTCACCAGAACTCACTCACACTTAAGGAAAATAAAAATCCTCACAACTGGACCCATATATAATGTTATGATAAATGCAGAAAAGATTGAAGTTGTCATTTTACTTGGACCCACAATCAGTGCCTATAGAAGCAGTGGACAAGAACTCAAATGATGTGTTTGATTGGGCACATACACTAGAAAACACCTCTTTAAAGTGTTAAAAAGCAAAGTGTCAAGGGAGCACTGGTGGCCTAGTGGCAAGATGCTGCACTGCAATCTCAGAGGTGACTGGTTCGAATCCACCAGATGCTCTGCTGGAGAAGGAGGGACAATCTCCTCCTGTACCAGTCAGATCAGATTTGACAGTACACACACAGACCAAAAAAAAAGGAAAGTGTCACTTGGAGGAAGGACTAAGGCGTGCCTGACCCAGGCCATGACATTTTTAGTCAACTTGTGTGTGTGAAAGCTGGATTATGAATAAGGAAGACTGAAGCAGAATTCATGCATTTGAAGTTGATGAAGAATATTGAATGTCCTGTGTACTATCAGGAGCAGGAACAAATCTGTCTTAGAAGCAAGGATGGGAAGATTTTGTTGCACATATTTTAAGCTTGTTAACAAGAAGGACATAATGTTTGGTATGTTGTTGTTGTTATGTGCCGTCGAGTCGCAGGTCATTTGAACCCACCAGTGAAGGTGGACAAAGAGGGAGTCTCTTCCAGCGTGATTTATAGCCTTCAAAAATTTGCTAGAGGATCAGCTATGAGTTGGTTCTGATTTTACATCAATAAGTTGTTGCTGGTGAGGGAATTTTTGGGAGCACTGGCTACCTAATCCATAAGGAGTTGCACTGCTACGGTGACCTGAGCCCACCAGTGGCTCCAAGCAAGAAGGATGAGCAATCTCTTCCCATGTGTTTTACAGCCTCAAAAACACAATGGTGTGCCAGATGAATTGATTCTAACTTGATAGCCCTGAATGAGTTGAGTGAGAAGTATCCTTCAGGATATTTAAAAAAAACTACGACTGCAAGAACCCATTACCCCTGAGTTAACTCCGACTTGTAGTGCCCTGCAAGACAAAGCAGAACTGACCCACAGCATTTCCAAGGCTTTCATTTTATTTTTAAAACATTTTACTGTGGTTTGAGTGTAAATTTACAGAGAAAACTAATTTCCCATTCCATACGAATCTTCACACATTTTGTTGTAAGACAGTGGTAACCCCTCCCACTTCTCCCTGGGTTTGCCTGAAAGGTGATCTCTTAAGAGCAGATTGGTTCAATTCACATTTGAAGGGATTCCAAGAGCCACTGTCTCAAGGTTCTATTACTCTCTAATCAACCAGTAAGGCTGGTCTGTTTTTTAAAAATAAAATTTGTTCTTTTAGTTGTGATTTTAATGAAGGCTTACAGAAAAGTTAGATTTTTCACTCATTCATTGTTACACATTTCCCCCACTTTCCTGCTATTCCTCATCCCCTAGTTTTTGTGTTGTATTTTGTTGTTTTGTTTTGTTTTTTTTTTAATATACATTCATTGTTGCAGCTGGTCTTTTTTGAAAAATATTGTTCTACATTCTTCTCCTGTCCCAGAACCTTCTATTGTGAGCCATGCCAGAGCAGTCAGTACAAGGAGCAGGGCATCATGTACTTCTGGTCTCAGAAGAGTAGAGTATGGTTCACATGATACATCAATTGTTTAGACTAATGGCTTCCTTGAGTTATTTATTTCCATTATTCTTCTTTGCACCAGGGAAGAGACTAATAGTTGTATCTTAGATGGCCATTCACAAACATTTAAGGACCCAGTCGCTGCTCAGCACAGTAGGATGAAGTCTTTAAGGACTATGCTATGCCAATTGATCTAGATGTTCCCTGGGATTGCGATCTTAAGCAAGGGTGTTTTTACAAAAGCAGACTATCACAGCTTTCGCCTACAGGGCTCTGTTGGGTTGAAAGCACCAATTCTTTGCTTAATCACTTAATCACAGCCAAGTGCTTAATCACTGTGCCACTTGTGCTTCTTTCCTAAACTAAACCCATTGCCACTTAGTGGATACGGACACTGTGACCCGACAGGACAGCAGAACTTCCCCACTGGGCTTCTGAGGCTGAAGTCTTGATGGATGAAGCAGCCAAATTTTCCTCCAATGGACTGCTGTGTGAGTCTGAACTACTGAATTCTGATTTGCAGTTAAGTGCTGAACCAGAGTGATGCCAGGGCCCTTCTATTGCAAGAAGCAACTCCAAAATCCCAAGAGATCAGCCACACTGTTTTCTCAAGAAAGTTAACTAACAGCAGAATTAAGTTGCCTCCAAAAGGTGACTATTAACGTGGGGTGTGTGTTGTTGTTGTTGTTGTTGTTGTTATGTAACGTCTAGTTGGAACTGACTCCCAGCTGACCCTTCAGCACAGTTTCAGAGGTTTGGGAGGAGATCACTCATCTTTATCCCACGGAGCAGCTGGTGGATTTGTGCCTTTGGGTTGGTAGTGCAGCTCCTTACCCCTAAACCACCGGAGCTCCCTAATGTAGGACTGGGAGGAGGGGAAAAAAATCTTACCAAAAGCTTAATTTATTATTATTTTAGTGGTGTGGATTTAACTGATCTTGCCTCCTGCTTTGATCATCCCTCCTGAGTGCAGGGATGGTGTTATTCAGTTGCCTTAAACAAAATTGCTTGCTCTTTCTTTTATGTAAGGAACTATGTTTATTACTTCATCAATTTTAGTGTATTTACACTTAATTATCAGTTTACTGTAATTTAGGTTTTTCTTATTAAATGATAATCACTATCTATAGACAAGTGCAGAATTCTAAATACAATTTGATTAGAAAGAAATGTATAGCTTCTCATCCAATTTTCCCCTTAACTTTTTAACAATGAAGTTCAGTACTAAAACTCTAATCCTTCCAGGCACAGACATGCTGGCAAAGTCCTTTCAGATATTTGCCAGAACTTTTAAAGGCGGCTGCCCTTTTCTGAGGTCTATCCGAAAACCTGAAAGGGATGAGCGATGTGAGAGATTTCCGCTGTCATCCTTCCCCGAGGGGCTCCATTCTCTTCTACTTTTCATTATTCATCCTCCCCTGCCATGCTGCTGCTGAAAACCACAATCATCCACCACCCCCAAGTCTCCAGAAAAGGCTTCAGTTCTAACTCTGGAACTAAGAAGGCAGGGAGTCTTAGAACTCATCTATAAAGTGAGGGCATTAGAGAAGAAAATATTTCAGGTATTTTCCTACATTCTGATTCCTACATGAGCTTCCCCATGGCAGACTACGAAGAGAAAAACCAAAGCATCAGGCTGTGACAGATGGGTTTCCCCATGAATTCCTAACATAAGTGATTAAGGAAACCAAAAAGGAAGACGCAGAGGATCCTCGACTCCTTTTAAGACTTGGCTTAATAATCTAAGCTGGTCGAAGAAGAGACTTCAACTAAAGTAAATGTAACTGTCACAGTTAGATTTTCTAATCACTGTACCCAAAGTGACAATCCAAGTGAAGTGATCCAAGAGGAGATCCGAGAGACAGTCCTAGAGGAGAAGGAAGATGGAGAAACACTTTTTGGCTCATCTCATTAACTCCTACTTGACACAGATTCTGGGGCTACCACCTTTCTTCTTCCATAGACCCACATTCTGCTTCTAAAACATAGCCCCTAAATTGAAGTGTGATGGCCTGACATAAAACCTAAGATTTTAGCTCTCATATCTGAAGGCCTGGGTTTGATATTAGTGTAAAATACCCATCAAATACATCAATTTGGTTCTTCTCTAAGATAGCAGGTCTCTTTAGCTGACATCTGTGATAATCTCAAGAGATAAATTCCAGGCTGCTGCTATTGTTTTGAAAACCGATTCAGTGTTGCAAAGCCACTTTCTCCTATTTTAGCAAGCTCTATCCACTGGCTGTGCTCTTTGGAAAAACAAACAGATCACAAACAAGAAAGAGTAATAATAGCTTGTTCAACTGGGTACTCGTGCTTCTTACCCACATATTCTGAGAGGAAGACGACAAAGAACGGAGTGACCAGGTCATTAATTCCCTGGACATACCCACTGGCAGGGTGTCGTATGGCCCAAATAAATAGGATCCTTTCAAAGATCTAGAAAATGAGAAAGAATGAAGACGTAAGTATTAAATCATGGAGAAGCACTTCCTCTGCCATCTTCCAATTAACTATTTCACAATTCTTCTTGGTGCAGAATTTTTAGGAAAAGTTTAAAACACAATAGGACAAAGGAAGTTATAAATGGAAGGAATTTCTAAGACACTTGTTGCTTTCAAGCAGCGGTGGATACAACCTGGCTTTCTCTTTTCAGTATTTGGTCACTCTGATATAATACTGGGGAAAGGAATGGGCAGAGATGCAAACAGCTTAGGAAAGGTTTGCTATGAACCTCATTAGTTCAGGCTACCACACTCTCAGTGTACACTGTGTTCCTCTATTTGCAAGAGCAAAATATCACAACATCTTAGTTCTGATACCTTTTTTGAAATCTTTTTTTTTTTGGTCATGGTGGGATTTAGAAAGGAAATGCCTTCTCTGCCACCCTGCTCTATCTCCCTGCTGAGAAAAAGGAAGAAGATCTAGATCCAGATATAGATTTAGTTTTAACTCAACTTGACTAGGAACAAGTGACAGACTGTACATACAGGAAGTCACTTCATATATCAGGATGCAACTCAGACATTTGCTAAGGATAGGAAGTCTGACAAACCAAAAATCCTATGAACTCTCACAGCTGAGAATTTGAGCACAGAGATATATGGTCCCTTTAGAGAGTCCTGCCCTGTCTCACTCAACTAGACTCCCTCTGCCTTTATTAGGCCCTCAACTTTATCACTGTTTTCTCTCATCTAACACTTGTCCCCTGGCTTTGTTTTGGAGTGACTACGACTTGTGAGCTTGATACATTCTCAGGACTAACTTTGATTGGGCTATTTCTGTGAACCCCACCAGATAAAAGGCAGAGGTAATGGTGAATGCATGAGACAGGACTTTAGAGAGCCTCCGGAGCTGGTACAGCAATAGTCGTGGACTCAGCAGAGTCCCAGGAAGGAGTTTCTGAGACTGAAGAGGCCCACTTAAGAGATCAGTGCCAGATCTCTCAGGGAGACAAAGAAAAAGAAAGTAGCTATATGGCTATGGAGTTGGTTAACTAGTATAGGAGAGGAATAACAAAAACAAACAAACAAAAAAACCCCACGCTAGTGAGACAATCAAGGATGCTTCTTAGCTACCACATTACAGACAGCCGAGTTAGCCTGCAGGTGACGGTCACAGTGAGCAATCACTCCCACTGCCATCACTTCTGCTCTTACATGCACGGAGAATAAACTCCTGCCCCCACTAAACTTTGACACTTTCTCTATTGATAAATTACTTGTTTCATTAGCTTGAAATTGTAACTCCAACTAGCCCTGCTTGCTCAGGAAGATCTCAAGGGATCTTGATCCACTTCCTAGTTCCTTGCATCTATTGTGGCTGGTATATATCCGTGGTTACATCATTTGGTTCTGTATCTCTGAGGAATTAGAAGAGTTTCTACTCAATCCCTTGTGAATATATATATCTTTGAAGATGGACTTTAATAGTGACCTAGTGCACAGAAGCTCACTGTTCAGAGTCAGGAGATCTGCAATAAAACCCACTCTCATAAGGATAGAATAAGGGCATGTATTCACACATGAGAGAAAATGCCAAACAGATGGAAATTGAGGCATTCTAGTTACCAGGGGGACCAGTAGTCTTCACTTTGAAATTTGAGATAATCCTGCCTTGTAGATAAATGTGAATATGGGAATTCTTAAAGGTTTTCCCTGCCCTTCTACTACTGTGGGTAATTCTCACCTACTAGTCAGACTAGCTGACAGCTTCAGTTTGCTTAGCTCTACAATCAGAACTCTTGGTACCAGCAGCCAGGAAATGAAAAGATGAATTGCATTGGGAAAGTCTGCTCTCAGAGACCTCTCCAAAGTACTGAAGAACAATGATATCAGTCTGGAGACTAAGGTGCGCCTGATACAGGCCATGGTCTTTGCAATTACTTGCTATGCATCAGAGAGCTGCACAATGATTAGGGATGATAGAAGGAGAGTTTATGCCTTTGAGCTGTGATGCTGGAGAAGAGTATTGAATATATCATGGACCACTAGGAGAACAAACAAGCTCATCCTGGGGAGGGTGAAGCCAGGCTGCTCCTTGGAGGCAAGGATTCTGAAGCTTCGTCTGACATACTTTGGACATGTTTCAAGGCGGGATCAGTCCTTAGAGAGGGCCGTCATGCTTGGGAGAGTGGAGGGACAGCATAGGAGAGGAAGACCCTTGATGAGATGGATTCAGTCACTGGGGTAATGGGGATAGGCATGTTGCAGACACTGAGATTGGGAAGGGATAGAGCAGGGTTTAGGGCTGTTGTACATAGGGTCACTATGAGTTGCAAGCGACTTGATGGCACATAACAACAATAACAACAATTAGTCAATACTTTGGTATCTTTCAGGCATGCGCTACAAGCCTTTAGTATTCCATGTTGCTTTGTTTGTGGCCCTTTGGCCTTTTCACTATGCTTAAGATAACTGTACCTGCTAAATAAAACACAAATGGTTCAAGAAAGCTAAAAGGAATCTGGTTTGGATTTCCTTGTTTGCATTCAGAGTCTGCTATTAGGAAAAGTCTTTTTAAAAAAAGAATAGTTTTCCCACTGCCAAGTTTAGAACAACCATGCACAAATAACAGCTAATATTTGAACACCATCAGGTTAACAAGAAGAATAAACTGGGTTGAGTTACGGTATATGGAATAGAAGCAGTAAAGGGATCTTGAATGTATTATAAGCTTCCTTTAAGCTAAATTTTACAGGTTAAAAGGTATTGTTATTGTTGGTGTGTACCATCGAGTTGGAACCAATCCACACCTGACTCTCCAGTGGCTTTTCAGAGCTAGTTAATAGCACGGGAGGAGACTACCCATTTTTCTCCCGCAGAGTGGTAAAATCAAGTACTACACTGAAAATTTTCCAGTGGAGACATCTATTGAACTAACATATGTTTAAGCAGAAACTATCCTGGTGATTTTTTTCCCCCCACTGTTCTCTATTACAAGAATAATTCAAAGAGCACCTCCACCCAGCAGTATCCTATCTCCTCTTAGAAAGCTGCAAAGGAAATCCTTAATCCTAAAGACTTGATAAGTCACTATTTGGGTCAAAAGCCCTTCCCAATAGAAACAAATGGAAAATCATTTCAAGTCTCAAGTACACATTTTAAGTGCACTACAGGCCTGCATGGTCAGGGGGAGGTGAGAGAAAAGGTGGCACTCAAGTCCTGCAGGAGGGATGGGAAGAACCACACCTACAATTTCCTGGCTCTTCCCCTAGAACCTTCACAGAAATTCTGAACTTGACAAAAGTTTGTCACTAAAGAGGAGCTAGGCTCACTGAGACTTTTCATGTGCTTCACTAGCTGCTTAGATCTCAAAATACCACTGCTTCCAGCTTGATAAAGTAGAGAAAATATAGGAATAGGAATTCTAAGCTATGGGGAATAGACTTTACTCCACCACCTGCTAGTTTCAAGCAAGGGCTAAGTCTCAACTTCTCTAAGCATTACTTAGATCACAGGTTTGCTAAGAAGATCAAATTATAGTGCATGAGAATTATATTAGAATCTATGAAAAAGTGCCTGGCAGGACCAAATGCTTTCTATATGAATATAAAGGATTAGCTGTAAACCTGCCTATGGCTACAGGAAGGCCTACTATACCCGGCCACACCAAACAGGTGCCCCAGAGGAAGCAAGGAGAAGGATCAAAGAATGTCAAGTACTTCCCTCACCTCCTGTACAAGTGGCTGCTGGAACAATGGAATGAGAGGATTCGTCCTTGGAATGTCAATGTGAATCTGAAAAAGAAAGCCATGTCCAAAACACAAATGCCTGTTTGTTCTTTTGACAAGTAATTTTTCAGAAGTTATTTTCTTAAGCATGGGGAATCAAGAAAAGTAAGAATTGGGCACAATTCATATGTAGACAGAAAGCTAAATGACACAGAAAAAGTCTAGTTAAACTTACTTCCTGTCCATCTGGACTGTATTTCCACAATAGTAATGGTTTATTTAATAGTAAGGATATTCTCTCAAATAAATCACTTATATAAAAAAATTAATAGACTTTATAATCGAAGAGGATTTACTGCTTTTTCTTAGTGTTCTAGAGTCTGTGCTTTACTCTGGATAACATTTATATAGGGTCAAGAGGTGTACCCCTCTTTCAGTATCTTATTTTCATCAACAGTTCCCAAGAACTAAAAGGGCCCTGACAGTGGCACTGATGTGAAGTGGGAGGGGAAAAGGGCTTGCTCATAAAGTTATGACGTCAAAGAAATGGGGAAGGATCCAGGGAACTTGGTCTTCAGTAACTGGAACTCAAAGTTCTTATTTTTGTTACCAAAAAGGGTCACTACAGTTGATTTCAATTCCCAATGCCCAGTCTAACGATCTCAAAGACAAGTCAGTGGCAGCCAAGGCTACTTTAGTTCTTGGGCTCTAGTTGTAGACTGCCGCCTACCCACCCTCAGTCTTTTCCTATCTTGTAACCAGGAGACTACTTTTCCACTTCCCAACATAGGATGCTTCTGGTAGACCGTTCTCAGACTGTGGGGACCACTGTAAGTGATAACATAAGGCTTCCCACTGAGGCTGCTGATGACCATGCTCCTGCAGACAGGCAAACATGGGGCCTAAAAAGGCACTCCAGCTGCCAAAGGGCACACTGATGTCACAGTCTAGAGGTCTTGGACCTCTGCTGAGTGAATCTGGCTTTTGCCTTGTCCCCTCTCACTCTTACTCTTCAGAGTGTGGTCCATGGACCAGCAAGCAGTATCAGCATCACCAAGGAGCTCATAAGAAGTGTCCAGAACAACTGAATCAGAATTTACATCTTTGTATGCATGTTAAGTTCGGAGAAGCACTGCCAGGGACCAGTGAATGTGTGCTTGTGTTTTTGTTTATTTAACGTGGAGAAAATCAGAGCCGCTAAGTAGAAAGAAGGAAAGCAACCGCTCTGGGGGTGGAGAGGCAGGTGGGGTGGGGAATTTCTAACAAGCAAGCTATTGCCTATGACTAGGAAAAACTGTATCCTGATAGCACAAATAAGAGACATACCTAAAGATAATGGCTATTAAGGAAAGGTAGTAGAGGCAGCAGGCGACAACTGTACCTGTCGGTAGGTATCTTGGTGATGCTCCTCATTTCGAGAGTCATAATACTGCTCAATGAAGCCAAAATACTCCTCGCGCTTCCGCTGCAGGGTCAGCTTCCTCCGCTCGGTGTTTGCGGGGAGATAGCCCTGGAGAGCAAATTGCCAGTCAGATGGGGGCAGACACTGGTTGGATGGATTCTTAATTTTTATTTAAGCCTGAGCAGTGGCTTGGAAACTATCAAAGGAATGGAGGAAAAGCTGCCAAGAGAGCAAGGTTAAATCTCCTTCTAGTTCTGGCCACCCAGTGTTTGTCCTCGTCTCATTCAATGAGATCCACATGTGGGCAATTGAGGCCAGGCCAGCGTTCCCAGGGCTGTCTGCTCTTCTGGTCTTGCGCTCCACTGGAATCCGTGCTTCTGGGGAGCTTCCAGGGTTGTTGGAGTGAATGTAGGTCAAGGGGAGGAACCTGGGCTCATGTCATGGCCTCTGCGGGTTACATGTGTGCAGGGCCAGCCTTCTGAGAACCTTGGGGACACATGTGGTGTTGTGCCAAGTGAGCTGGTGCCAGCTACACATTCTTTCCCATTGTAACATTCAGCATTACCAGCTTAGGAAGCTGAATGGAATCTTCGACACAGCAACCGACAACACTCAGCAACGGAACTTTTGGCAGCAGCCTTGATCTGAGCTGAGCTCAAGGCCAGCCTTCATGCTTATCCCTGCTCAAGATCCCATGCTCGATTCTTACATCTCCTGTTTCCTTTCCACTGTCATCAACTGTTCAAACTTATTACAAGTGGCAGAGGCACTGATTTCACGTTTGCAAGACTGAGGCTGGGGAGGGTAGTCAGGGGAGAGATTCTCATCCTGGCAGACACTTAAGTAATGCATTCCAGAGCACACGCCTAGAGAGCAGGTGTGGTGGTTTATGCATCTGTGTGTGCCCTCACGGCACCTGGCACTGGGCCTGGCAAACTGCAGCATGGTGATAAATCTTTATCAGATGGATGAACGGATTTTACAGGTTCAGGAAATCCAAGTGTTCCTCTCAGAGTGGCTGGCACAGGGCTTACTCCGTGAAAGCAAGACAAGTGGAGGCTTCCAATGGAGGCCCATTTATCAACTCTACACAGCCACGGGGCTGGCGTCAACCACTCTAATGAGTCCCAGTGATAAAGGAGGGAGGCCCCGCGTGTGGGAGCTTACTCAAAGGTGGTGCCGAGCTCACACCGGCCTGCTATGTTCATCTTCTCTCTATTAAGACAGTAAGGACATGACTGCAGGAGCAAGCTGTGCTCTTCTATATATGCGGGAGTGAACCCTTGAGAATATCATTCTAGAAACTAAAAGATGAGATAGGAAACTTAGGGGGCCATGAGTATACATCAATGGGAGGGGTACAACTTGGAAAAGGAAGGTGAGAATGGTTATACAATGGAAAGAATGCAATCAGTATCATGGAATTTACACACAGAAATTGCTGAATTGATATATATTCCCAACAAAAAAGAAAATATAAGTTTTCAAAGTCTTACAGCCTAAAACCGAATAGGACTATTTGCTTTATGCCCAGGAATAGCTCACAGGTGCCCCGTTCTGCGTAAGCAGCAGGATAAGGGACGTCTAGGGAGGATTAGTCTGCCCACCCAGACTGAGCTCATCCGGCAAAAAGGACTGTGTGAGGCTCACATTTCTCTACAGAGGGCAGAACTCACCGACAGGAGTCTCCAGGTTACAGGGCGAACCTCCCTGGGAACCCCTGGCCAGCTACACTTCCTCAGTTCATCTGCAAACAGATAACAATCTTATTGGATTAGCTCTTTGCACAGATGTTCTAAAACAAACTTCAACCAGCATTGCCAGATGCCTCCCATCACTCGAGTAAGACCATCACCGCCGCCACCACCTGCTACTGACAAGCACAGAAAAAAAGCCCATAACAGCAGCCCTGAGCGGCAAGGTGCCAAGAACACAGCCCTGCAGTAGCAATTCAGTCAGCTCAGAGATTAGAGTTAGAGGGAAAGACCAGTGATTGTGGATTTCAGTAAGATGTGCCTGGAAGTAAAGGAGACCAAAGCTGAAATAGTTGCACTATGGTCTACAGGCCACAGAAACCAGTCCCACCTCATTTGATCCCTAATCTCTAGAAACATACTTCTGACTTAATACCTGCATGTCACTGCAGTGGGCATCAGATCAGGAGATGCTGGAAAAGTAAAAGAAGGAAGAATAAAGAGCAATAGCTTTCAGGTCTCTGAGAATTCCAGTCACCAAGAGGTCCTACCTTGCCTGGGGCTCCCAGGAACTCACCTAAATCAGTGTTGTGGCTGGAGAGAAGCTGCCGGAATTTCTCCAAGCGGGTTTTCTCCCGCACAGTCATAGGGGGAGCCCCAGAAGCATTCTGGTCCGAGATCCGGGCAACAAGGGGGATGATGGGCCGGAGAGGGAGTGACTGCTGTTTGTGAAGAGGATTCCTCAGACATGTATCACCTGATACAATTTGGAAGAGAAATGTAAAAGGTTGTTTAAAGAACAATCCTAAAAAGCTTAAAACATAATCATTTGTATCACATTTCATCTTCCTAGAGCTGAGAGCCCAGTGTGTGGGCTGCCAAAGATGCACAGCTGGGGAGTGAGGCATGCACCCAGCCCATGCCCCATCTATCTACCCAGAGGAAGGGCTGCATTGTTACCATACATACCAAGGTGCTTTATGTGCTAACAGAGAATCCGGATGCTGCTGCAACCTGGAGAATTGTTTTGGTGACTTCAGGAGAGAATAATTTTTTTCCTACCACAATCTGAAACTTTTTTCTCTGCCTAATAGTGAGGCAAGGAGCCTCTGTGGCCTAGTGCCTCAGGCCTCCTGAAAACCAGCAGTTTGAATTCACCAGCTGCTCAGCGGGGGAGAAAGATGCACAGTCTTCTCTCGTCAGAGGGTTGCTATGAGCTGGAACCCACCAGGTAGCAGTGGGAGTGAGAAGAGTGAGGTGTGTGTCTAAGGCAGTGTTTTCCTTGCTTCATATCACAGAGCATATAATAAATGTAAAGTGCACTGTGATAAAAAGGAGGCAGCTGCTCCCCAGCAGCCCAAAGCCTCAAGCGGCTGCCTCTCGCTCTGAGATAGTCAATACAGGTGAGTCTTGGTCCTCCACTGCGCCTGTGTACCAGGTGAGAAGCTCTGACCTAACGCAATCCCGCCCTAAGGTTGCTGCAGTGCCTGTGTGTACCTCTATGTCCCAAATAAATGAATCCGTTTTTGATACTGGCAGGACCTGACATAATGAACAGAAGCACAAACTCAAGCAGAAGTTTATATCTGGCTTGAGACATGTTCAAACTAGATGGTGGATTAAGAGAAATGAGCAATATTGGACTAATATTTATTGAGTACTTAGTATGCACAAGGCATTGTGCTAGACACTTGTATGCATCATCTCTCATTTGAACTTTTGACATCTAGTAGGAATTTATTTATTACTACTTTATAAGTGATAAAAGTGGGTCAGAAAGGTTAAATAACTTAAAAGTGACGGTTAAGATGCCACCTTGGACACATGCCAACCTCCACAACCTTTGTTTGCTGAACTGTGTATTGAAAAATATATATTTTAGATTTGAATCCCTATACCTATGTTATAGCTCCATTTAAGAATGAGTTTTATGTTAACGAGGCAATTTTAGCGTAGGGTATATCCTGAAGTAACCTCTTTGGAGACCTGAAAGAGCAGGTTAAACAAGCAGAGATGGGAAAGATCCACATCATGCAGAAGAACAGAAGTTGAAGAGAGAGATGAACTTCTCCCTTAAAGCTGGCAGAATGAGAAAGCCTTTCCCCAGAGCGAGTGTCTTGAACTGGGACTTCTAGTTGCTTCCAAAAACCCCAATTTCACTGCTGTAAAGTCAATTTTTGAATCACAGCAACTCTCTAGGACAGTGGAGGCCTACCCTACAGAGTTTCCATGGGGGAAATATTTATTGAAGCAGACTGCCATCTCTTCCTTATGCAGAGCAGCTGGTGGGTTTGAAGCGCCAACTGTTCAGTGCACAGTTAAGTTACCACCAGAGCTCAGTTCTAGCTGCCTAAAGTAGGAGAATAAACTCCTGTGTGTTATAGCCATTCACTTGTGGTGTTTTTATTATAGCAAAGTAATACAATTTCAAACAAAACTCACTTCAAGGCCTTAAAAAAGATATTATAAACAAGATTAAATAAATGAATAACAATCAACCTGCGTAGTTAAGTTCACTGAAATAACTGCTACAAGGAACCTGCCCATGGACCTAGTGTAACAAGGACCCTAGAAAACGGAGACCACACACTGCAAAGCCAAGACGGATATACATCGCTGATATTCATTATTAACAGGTACATACTCATGAAGCATAATCCCCTCCAGGGGAATGCTCAGGAAGGCTTTGGCTCTATAAAGGCAATTGCTCCTTAGAAATCAGGGTGGGACTAGGAAGGGGTGGCACCTCTCTCCTCCGGAGAATGTCAACCACAGGGCATAGACACTTTCCACAGCCTGGATCTGTGGAGAACCAACACTGAATTGTGGGACACAGTACTGAAGGTTCAAGCCGGTGCTCAAACTGGCAAAGGAAAGTGGCTCCTGAAGGTCTTTAAAGGTCTTTTTGTGTGTGTGTACTATCAAATTGGATCTGACTGGCACAGGAGGAGACTGTCCCTCCTTCTCCAGCAGAGCATCTGGTGGATTCGAACAGCGCACCCCTGGGATTGCAGTGCAGCTTACTGCCAGTAGGCCACCAGAGCTTGGTTTTTAAAAGTCTTAAATCCAAACTGCATGACCACATGCTCAGTCTGCAATGACAAAAAAAAACAAAAAAAACCTCTGTCAGAGAATGAACCAGGACACCCTCTAGTGCTCTGACATTTTCTACCTCCTTCTAACTCATCAGCCCTTTTAACTCACCAGGATGTTGGTACTTCCCACTACAGCTCAGAATGACCAACTTCCATGAAACTCCTTAGGGCAACATAAAAACACAGGACTGGATGCCAAAATGAGTATACTGAGAGTCCCCAAACGTCTTATAAAACCAACATCACATCACCCCAAGTGGTTATTGAGGCCTGTTTCTTAAAAAGAAATAACAGTCTCCCACCTGACTCAACCGGATGGGTACACCTGGTAGTCAGGAAGCTGTGACCCAGACCTTCAGAAACAGAAAGAAGACAACTTTATGCTAATGGTGGTCTCCAGAGCTCAAGGAACCAATAGATAGTGCCAAATATTTGTGAGATTCAGCCACCAGAAATGTCAAATTCCTTCCTCCATATTCTTAAACACTGATCAGGCTTAAGGTCACATGAAGCAATCAAACCACAAAAGTTGAGAATCCTGTTACAGGACAGAGGAAAAAAGGACAAAATGATGAGCAAGACATGGATGGTGAGGAAGAGAAATCCCAGGCCACAGAGTTGAAAAGCCAGCAAGGTGGGAGGGGCTAGTACAGCTATGACCAGTGAGGCTCACTGCTACACTTCTCAATCAAGCTTTTTTATTTATTAATCATTAATCAAGGGAAGATCTCAGTGAGTTCCCAGAAGAAGAAACCCCAAATCTTTTTTATTTCAAATGTGCTCTGTGGGGAAGGCTATGGCTGTGGAGGATGGAGGATGGACTTACTGGAGTTTCTGGACAGCTGGGCATCACTGCTGGACTTTATGACCTTGTAGCTAGCAGGGACGTCGGCTGTTGCTGACTGGGACCGCTCCGGCTTTATCCTCAGTTTGCTGTGGTTTTCCAGGACCTGGGCTGCAGTTGCCAAAGCAACTTTTGAGTTCAAAGTTTGGAAAGAAGGTGAGGAAAAGTCCTCCTCCTCGTCATCACCAATGTCCCAAGCATCACTGGTATTCCGGGCAAACTCATGAAAACTGGAGGCCTTCTTATTCTTCAGGGGAACTGCGTTGACTTTTGACCGTTCTTTAATGAAGCTTCGAGAAAGGAGACATCATTACTAAGGGAAAGCCTGACACATCTGATCACCTTCAGTTGCTTAATATGTTAATAATAATATTATAAAACACCAAAGACCAGGGAACTCTGGTGGCCTAGGGGTAAGGAGTTTCTCTGGGAACCCAAAGGTATGTAGTTCGACTCCACCAGCTGCTCCTCAGGAGAAAGATGGACAATCTCCTCCCATGTAATTACTTACCTCTGAAAACCTGCTGGAGGGTCAGCTATGGACGGGTTAAAACTCAACAGTGCACACCACCACTACTACCACCACCACCAATATCAAAGATAATCATTACCTTCTTCAAATAAAAGCCACCCTTCCCATTCCTCATGTAGTCCAGCACCTAGTCTAGCTGTGTAGCAGTGACAATAATACTCACCAGAGAATTCATGTGCTTATTTACATATTCCAGTCCCTTTGCCCTCAGACAAAGTCATATGACTAGCTCTGGCCAATGGGCTGAGAAAAGAAGTGAGGCAATCACTTCTAGTCTAACGTATAAAACAGCAGGTGTGGGTTTTTCTGTAAGTGCTCTTCTACTGAGGTGAAGAGAGCTTTCAGATGGTGGAGATCTCAGTTGGCTCCCTGGATAACTTTTAGGAGCAGAGCCGAGTCTTCTACCTTCTTGTTAGATGCCAATGAGACAACTATGGCTCACAGAGACCCTATGAACAGGAGACTGACCTATTCTGTGTCATTCTCACTATCTCTACCATGCCCACTGTTGCCATCACTGTATCAATCCATCTTGGTCAGGGGCCCTCTCTCTTTTGATGACCTTCTACTTTTCCCAGCATGATATCCTTTTCCAAAAAGTGTCTCTATTTTCTTAATTTGGAAATATAGTTGTTATGTGCCATCAAGTCGCCTGCGACTCATAGCGACCCTATGTATAACAGCTCTGAACCCTGCTCTATACTGAGCTAACCTTACTGTCTCTGACAGACCTACTCCCATAACCCCAGTCACTGAATCAATCCATCTCAAGGGTCTTCTTCTCTTGAGCTGTCCCTCCACCTTCCCAAGCATGATGTCCCTCCGTGCAACATGTCCCATGCATGTCAGACCAAACTTCAGAATTTAGAAATAAATGCTTACTGATTAATCCAATGAGATTTCAGGGTCCATTTTTAAAGGAACCATAACCTAGCCTGTCTTTAGAACAGGAGACAATTTTTAGTCCACATATGTGAAATTAGATATTAAGTCCATTAGGAATCGATGAAATATCAATTGACATTTCAACTGACAGATGTAGTCCTAGACATGCTCACCAGTCTGTGCCAGGAAATTGGGAAAATAGCTAACAGAATGTGGAAATTAATAAACAGTATCATTAATACCACATGCAAGCGTTAAAAGAAAATGGAAGGAGTACACAGTCACTGTACCAAGAAGAACTGTCTGACACAGAAGAATTTCATGGAACAACATATGATCAAAAAATAATGGTCTATTGAATTTCTATGTTCAGCTTTTTAAGGAAGTGCCAAACTGCCTTCCAGAATGTTTGTACCATTTTTCAATCCCACCAACAATGTATAAGAGTTCCTATCCCCCAGCTATTCCACTTCCTGGAATATACCCTGAGAAAATGAGAACTGAGGCACAAATGGAGACTTACACACCATTGTTCATAGCTGTGTTATTCACCATCAAAAGAACATGGAAACAGCCCAGATGTCCAACCGCCATAAAATGGATTGAGAAATTATGGTACATTCATTCAATGGGGTACTATGCAGCACGCAAGAGCAAAGCTTTTGGTATTAGGCTGAGTGAACTAATTCAGTCCTACAAGGACAAACATTGTATAAAGCCATTATTGTAGAATGAGTCTGAGGATCCTGGTGGGGGTTGAGGGTGGAAGGTGGAAGCAGAGGGATTAAGGGGTGTGTGTGTGTGTGTGTGTGTGTGTGTGTGTGTGTGTATGGGGGGGATTAATCACGGGGTTAAACAATCTGATCAGTGGTGGGGGAGGGTGAGGAAAATGGGAAGAATCTGCTGTGAAAAAAAATGTATTCTAATTTTGTAAATAAACTAGAATAATTTTTTAAAAAAGACAATGGTGATGAAAGAGGAAGTTCAGGCTGCTCTGAATGAACTGGCAAAAACAAGGCCCCAGATATTGACGGAATATCAATTGACATATTTCATCAGACAGATGCCACCCTGGACATGCTCACCAGGCTGTACCAAGAAATCTGGAGGACAGCTACCTGACCAACTGGCTGGAAAAGATCCATATTTACTCCCATTCCAAAAGAGGATAACCTGACAGATTGTGGAAATTTATGAACAATATAATATCACTAGTATCACATGTACGCAAGCAAAATCCTGCTGAAGATTATTAAAAAACAACTGGAACAGTATAGAACTACCAGAAATACAGGCCGGGTTTAGAAGAGGCTGTTGCCATGACACATGAGACATTGATCGCCAATGTTAGATGGATTTTGGCTGAAAGCAAGGAGTTACCAGAGGAATGTCTATCTGTGTTTCATTGACTATGCAAAGGTGTTTCACTATGTGGATCACAACAAATTGTGGCTAAACTTGAGAAGAATGGGAATCTCAGAACACTTGATTGCGCTCATGTGAAATCTGTACTCGGACCAGGAAGCAGAGTCAGAATAGAGCAAAGAAATACTGCATGGTTCAAAATCAGGAAAGGAATGTGTCAAGGATGTGTCCTGTCTCCATTCCTTTTCAATTTATATGTGGAACAGATCATTCAGCAGGACTTTATGAGGTGGAATGTGGCGTCAGAATTGGAGGAAGAATCAACAACCTGTGCTATTGTACATGACACAACCTTGCTTGCTGAGGATCTGAAGCATTTGCTGAAGAAAGTCAAGGGCTGTAGTCTGTAATATGGATTGAAGCTCAACATCAAGAAGACAAAGATTCTCAGCACTGGGCCAACCGGCAGCACTATGATAGATAGAGAAGAGATTGAAGTTGCTAACAATTTCAGCTTACTTGGCTCCACAATCAATACTCCTGGCACCAGCAGTCAGGATATCAAAAGACAAATTGCACTGGGGAAATCTGCTATCAGGGACCTCTCTAAAGTATTAACCAGCAATAATGTCAGTCTGGAGAGTAAGGTACACCTGATCCTGGCTACGGTCTTTTGACTGGACAATGACTAAGGATGACAGAAGAAGAATTGATGCCTTTGAGTTGTGGGGCTGAAGAAGAGTACTAAACATATCATGGACCACAAAGAAGACAAACAGGTATGTTCTGGAGAGGGTAAAACCAGGCTGCTTCTTGGAGGCAAGGATTTTGAAGCTATGTCTCACATACTTTGGGCACAAGCCAGGAGTGGCCAGCCAGTCCTTGGAGAAAGACATCACACTTGAAAGGGTTAGGGGACAGCAAAGGTGAGGAAGACCTCAGATGTGATAGATTGACCCAGTAACTGGGGTAATGGGAGTAGGTGTGTCGGATATACTGAGACTGGCTCAGGATAGGACAGGGTTCAGTTGCTATGAGTTGCAGGCAGTTCAATGGTACATAACAACAAGAAGCAGCAAAACACTGCTGAAGATGATCCGAAAATGACTAGAATAGTACACTGACAAAGAACTCCCAGATAACAAGTGGGATTTAGAAGAAGTCATGGCACAAAGCATATCAAAGCTGATGTGTCACAGATCTTGGCTGAAAGCAGAGAACACCAGAAGAATATTTATGTTTTATTGACTATGCAAAGACATTTGACTGTGAGGATCATAAGAGGCTGTGACTAATATTGAGAAGAATGGGAATCCCAGAACACCTAATTATACTCAAACAAAACCTATACCTACACCAAGAAGCTATTGTCTGAACAAAGCAAGGGTATACTGTTGTTAGGTGCCATCAAGCCAAGTTAAAAGACTCCTCCTGTGCCCGTCGGATCTGATTTGATGGTACACGACAAGTAAAAACCAAAAAAGAAAAGAAAGACTCAGCACCCTGTGAGCAACAGATCTGAACCCTGTCTTATTCTGTGCCGTCCTCGTCATCTCTGAAACTCTTGAGCCCATTGCTGCAGTCTTGTCAATCCAGCTCATTAAGGGTCTATGCTTCTTTTGCTGCCCTTTCCTAGCATGATTTATCTTTCCAAGGAATAGCCTCTCCTAGCAATATGCCCTAAGTATGTGAGATAACTATAATTAAAAAAATTTAAAACAAAACAAAAACCAAACCAATAAACTGTAAAATTAAAAAAAAAAAAAAGTATGTGAGATGAAGCTTAGGCAAACTTGCCTCCAAGGAGCAAGCTGTACTTTTACGAAGATATATCTGTTTGGGTTTTTTTTTTGCCAGTTCATGAGCTACTCAGGGCTCTTCTCCAAAATCACAACGCAAAGGCATCAATTTTTCTAACATCATTATTTACTGTCCAGCTCTCAGATGCATAGCAAGTGACTGAAAAGCAAAGTTGGACAATGAATAAGGATGACAGGAGAAGAACTGATGCCTTTGAGCTCTGGAGAAGAGTACTGAATATCCCACGACTTCCAAAAGAACAAACAAATATGTCTTGGAGAAAGTGCAGCCAGAGTGCTCCTTGGAAGCTAAGATGGCAAAGCTTCATCTCACATACTTTCGGAATGTTGCTAGAAGAGGTTGTTCTCTGGAGAGGGGCATGATGCTTGGAAGATCCTCAACAAGATGGAACATGATGACTGCTACAATGGGCTCAAGTGTGTCAGAGACTACAAGGATGACACAGGATTCAGATTTGTTGTTCATAGGGTCACTATGAGTCACATCAATCTGATGGCACTTAACAACAATGACAACGAAAAAAAAATTTTCCTTTAAAAGAAATTCTGTAAAGCCCTTCTGTTATGTTTGAGAAGAATCTTCAGTATGGCTCCACTCTGTCTATAAGACTCTATTTTTTAACAAAATGAGGGCAGACTTGGGCTTAACACATTTGCAAGCAAGAGAATCTAGCTCAGAATTTAATAA